GGCAGGCGGGCGGGCTGGCAGGCCGTGGCACCGCCCCCTGGCCCCTCCCCTCCGCTCCGCCGTCCAGAGCTCTCAGGTTTCCATTGGCTCAGGATATTGCCGCTCAGATTCGGGCTCACGCCCAATCCCTCTCTCATTGGCCGCTGGGCAAAGGCACGATGCTGCGATTGGCCCAGTGCTCCGCTATTTCCGTTCGGGAGCGGGAGGAGAAGGCGTTGCCCGAGAGATGGGCGGGGCTCGTTTGCGTACAATGGGACCGCCCCTTGCGCGCGGCCAGAGCCAACACTGATTGGACCTAGCTCCTGTCCAAGAAGGGAGGGAGGGTCGTGAAGGAAGACCGGGCAACGGGCCTGGGAAGGCGGGACCTGGGTTGACCGGAACCAATGGGCGAGCAGATCGCCCCCGCAGGCGTCGCGGATTCGCGGAGTCTGTACTACTTCCGCCCTTGATTGGGCGGTTGTGGGGGCGGGCGGAGGGCGAAGATCAGTAAAGAAGGCGAGAGGAGAGGGTGTCGCTCCCCTGGGCTGGGATAGGTGGAGCGACGCCTGCAATTCCCTGCTGCAGAGAAGGGGTTGGGGGGGCGACGGAGCGTGAGGTGCTGACTGCGCAGGCGCCAATGTGCTCCTTTCCTCCTTCCACTCTCACCCCCGACTGCTAAAATCCTCTTCCAGGAAGCCTTCCGTTCCCCTCCCCCTCCCCTCCAGCCAACATGTCGGGACTTGAGTGGTCAGAACCCTGGAATCCCAGAGCGAAGGGACAGCGATTCAGGGCTCGTCCCATTAAGCAGAGGTTAAAACTGAGGTCTGGAGGTCGAATGACTCGCCCAAGGCCATACAGCTCGGAAGTGGAAGAACGGGGATGTAAGCTATATTTTGGCTTTTGACCAATTTTCAACATCGCCTTTTTTTCCCCCTCCAATCACAATGCCTCAAGCAACCTCCATTGCAGCTGCTGTCAAGTCAAAGTTGATTCTCTCCTCCACCAGACCTGGAATTCCTCCTGGGCAAGAATGGGCCTGGTATTGAAGAGTTTGAACATCACTTGGTTTTTGGTTTTGGTTTTTGGAGTCTCACCCTGTTGCCCAGGTTGGAGTGCAGTGGCACGCTCAGGCCACCGAGCAAGTGATCCTTCCGCCTCAGCCTTCCAAGTAGCTGGAACCACAGGCATGCGCCATCATGCCCGGCTAATTTTTTGATTTATTGTAGAGACGAGGTCTCGCTGTGCTGCTTAGGCTGGTCTCGAATCCCTGAGCTCAGGCAGTCTTCTCGCCTCCGCCTCCCAAAGTGCTGGGATGACAGGCGTGACCCACCGCAACCGGCGAACATCACTCGTTAAAAGAAAGGAATGGGTGACTGTGGTCGGGCCCAGCCTCCCCACCCCCGGCTCCCCAGGGACTGGCTCTCAGGAAGGCAAAGCGGTCAGAACTCCAATGCCCCGGGCTATTGAGAAATTTGGGACAAAGGGAACAGGAAGAGTCCATTTCTGTCACTTCGAGGACTGAAACTCCATCCCACTCTCTTTTCTAATCTCATCCCTGGAATGAGCCTTGGGGGTGTGTCCTGGATCCTTGGAACGTCCCCACTGAATCCTTGGGCCCTGGGGGCGAGATTTAGAAGAGCCCACTTTCGAGGTTCAATGGATCCGTCCGTTTGGGCTTCCGGGAATGGACTTGGGAAAGTCCATTCTGGATCCTAGGAGGACAGTTACCGCTCAGCTGTTTTAGTGACAGGGAGAGTCCATTTCTAATATGGGGGGACTATGCCCCTAAAGATCACAGAGCAGCCCCATTAAGAACAATCACAAACTGGCCGGGTGCCGTGGCCCATGCCTATAATCCCAGCACTTTGGGAGGCCGGGATGAAAGGATTGCCTGAGCCCTCGGGCTCGAGACCAGCCTGGGCAACTTGGCGAGACCTCATCTCTACAATAAATCAAAAAATTAGCTGGGCATGGTGCCGCACACCTGTAGTCCCAGCTACTTGGAAGGCTGAGGTGGAAGGGTTGCCTGAGCCCAACAGGTCAAAGCTGCAGTGGCCATGAGCATACTGATGCACTCCAGCCTGGGCAACAGAGTGAGACTTCTACTCAAAAAACAAACAAACAAAATACAAACTATTACTACCAGGACTTGAAGAAGTCCTTTTTGTGGACAGACTCATTAAGCTCTCCAATGACAGGAGTTGTCTATTTATGACATGGGAAGAACCACTTTCTCCTTGAGGATAATGCCATTAAAAATATATAATGGCAGCTGGGCAAAGTGGCTCACACCTACAATCCCAGCACTTTGGAAGGCAGAGATGAGAGGATTGCTTGAACCCAGGAGTCTGAGACCACGAAACCAACCTGAGCAACATGGCAAGAACTTGTCTCTACAATAAATTTTTTAAAAATTAGCTAGGCTCGGTGGCTCATCCCATAATCCCAGCACTTTGGGAGGCTGAGGTGAGCAGATTGCCTGAGCCCGTGGGTTCGAGAGCCACCTGGCAACTTGGCAAGACCTCATCTCTACAATAAAATAAAAAATTAAGCCGGGCTCGG